GTTAAAGACATCCGTTAGGACTCTTTTATTGACCACATAAAGTGGTCAGTTAATTAACTGCACGAACTTTTTTTTTATAGTGCTGAGCTGTACGTGATAATGTTGGTAAGTGTACTCTTTGTTGTCTTTCTCGACTGAGTTTGTTACGTTATCAAAAAAGAAAATTGAGCATCAAATTATCTTCTAGGGCGCCTGTCGAATTCTGTCTTAATTAATACAAATTCTCTCTCACCTTAAGGTGTGTAATGAGATATGTGTGTAACCAGAAGTAATAATTTGGAGTCTGAACTATATATGTAAAATTAAATTGAAAGAAGAAATTGATTCTGAGCTGCGTTTGTGTTTAAAAAAACAAGAGTGCTACTTTTAAGGTTGACGTGTTTGTTTGACCCGCTATTTAGCAGGTACACAGGAAACATCAATCATAGTGATTGTGTTGTCGACAAGAAAATTATTGAAAATTCTACTCAGTGAAATCCAAAAGCAAAGCCCCAAGATATTCCCCTTTTTCTTAGATCGTATGTCCTATATAAGTGTTGAAATGCTTGTTAAAGCCTAGAGACATTTCAGACTTATATTTAGAAACATCTATATTACATTTGTTTCAGGATGAATGACTAATATTCCCCGACTTGCTTCGTCCAGCTTTCATTTCAGACAACGCCCTTTCCTCCACTTTCGATCACCAAGGATATCTCACCGTAGAATAAAAAACAGCTTCACAATTAGTTTCTCTTACATTCAGTAAAATTTTAGATATTGTCGGCTGAAGAAATGTATTTTGAATACATCGTGCACGGCAATGGACCGCCATTTTTTGATGAAAGATATATGAAAGTCCAGACTGAGGCTTTACTTGAAAAAAGTAACGCGCTCCTTCATCTTTTCAGGAAAATTTGTTTCATCAAAAATTATCATTATCAAAAAGTAACCTTTTTGGACCCAAGCTTCTTCCATAATGAAAATTCTTACGTATATGTGCACGATCCTTCGCAGTAAAGCACTATTTAAGCAATAGTGAAAATCAGACCTGAAAAAAACTCAGGCCTGAGGTCAGTGGTTCGAATCCCGTACAGGCCTGAATTTTTTTCAGGTCTGATTTTCACTATTGCTTAAATAGTGCTTTACTGCGAAGGATCGTGCACATATACGTTTCATAACCGCAGTTCATATATATGTATTTCATATGTTTGCTGAATGAAAATTCTGTATAACTCATTTTAAAGGAGGTTAACATATTTCTTGCTTAGCTGAAATACAGTGTACTCTTTCAGACTAGGCGGACAGCCATCAATTTATCCGCAGCAATTCTTCCTCCAACCCTGAGCTTTCAAAACTGAAGCTCTGAATATAATTGAACATCACTCTACAAACTGTGGGCGTTTCCTACAAGCAGTTTCTTTTTTCTTCATTGTAAATCAAAACATTCATGTACAGAAATGGATATCCCAGAAAATCCTTGTAACTTATGCTGTACACGATCGCGAACTGAAATTCTTTTTCGCACAGTTTATGTTTTTGTTCAGTTGGTCGTGTTTTAAGAGCCAAATAATTTCTTTCTGTTTTTGAAGTTTATTCAAATTGTACCTGAATGATGCGGTTTAAACCCAAAATTTGAGTTTGAACGCGTGGGTGACTCTAGATACGCGTGAATTGAACTCACGTGTTTGGCAGCGTGACGTGTATCTCACTTGTTTGCACTAAGATTCAGCAAATGCCTAGTGAACTGATAAGGTAGTGATAATCGATTTGACAGGAGGGAGTTTCTGGCGTTTTTCTCACTAAAATAAACGTCGCATTTGGTTACCGATGAAGACAACAAGTTAATTCTTAAGAATCTCAAACATTTTTAAATATTTTCTTGAGAAACACGTTTCTCTCCTACGTATAATTCTAAGTCTTGTTATATAACAGTTGTTATATAACGTGAGAAGGTGTGTGAGTAGTACACGTGAATTAACGACCCACGCTTCAAGGATCTCAGAAACGAAGGGATTTCACGCGAAATACCGTTCCATTAGAATGAAAATACCGAAACATTTTTTTCTTTTTCAAGGGATAAACTGAATCAATGAATCAACAACGTATATGGCAACTGAAGTAAGCGTTTCACGGAAATGTTCTTTCACCACCCTCTCTTGTATACTGAATCCGCCTGAGACGTGACCCACGACATCCTCTTTCTTTCCGTCTCTTTATTTCTGAACCTTGTGATACAGTTTGTTAATGGTGAACATCATTTCTGATAATATCATTCAGAGATCATTCATAAATATTGAAAAGCTGATCACACTGTATAATGTATTACACAGTAGTGGTCACCATCACCAATATTGTACTTCAGTAAATATATGTCGCGGGCTATAAAATCATCGACAATGAAACACTTTAAAGCAATTTTTACTTTGTGGAACAAACCCACATTACATCTCTGGTAAACGTGAAAAATTTCTCTTTCATTTCCGGATAAAGTAGGCGAGGAAAAATTTTAAAAGAAGTGTTGTTAAGGATGTCATCGTATTTTTCTTAAAGTATAGCACAAAAGTGAACGCAAAGAAATAACGCGCTATTTAGACAAAATTGCTCCTTAATTAGGCAGAACTCGGAGGCGTTTCTGATGTCGGCAAAGGTTGGAAGCAAATTCTTTTTGTAGTAATGTTAAAAAGATCGTTTTACGAGCGAGGTACTGCGTAAAAAAAAGAGGTGTGAAGGAACTGATATCACGTTAATAAATAAATCCTTTATTTCTATGGGCGGCCCTGTCTCTCCACGCACTTGGTTATTTTCTCGCCCTCGACAATACATTAAGTTTACTTAGATCGAAAAGTTTTAGAAGCTAGACCATATCTTTGTTGTGATTTTGTGTGAGCCACTTGGAAACGCGAAACTGCATTCGCTATACTTTCTGACGCGCTGCTAAGAAGACTGAGTATGAGCCGTGAAGGTTTGTTTGAGGTAAGAAAGAAGTATTTCCCACCCAACAAAGACGTACATTGGAATATCATAACATTTAATCTCTTTTTCGTGCGAAACCATTTCTATTTAGGTCTTCAAATCTTTCAGTCTTCACAGTACAGGGGTGAAAGTAAAGACACCAGAATTCAGGTTCAAAATGAGACCGTGCGTTCCTTTCCGTTGTCTCTCTTTCCATTGAGAAGCGATTCATATCGAGGAATGTTCATGATATTCAAAATACCAAAAAGAGGTAAAGAAAAAAACGGCCCATGTTGAGAAATTGTGTCTCTCAAAATAGGTTTTAATTATTTTACTTGATAAGATATTTTAGCTTTCTTCGCTTCTGAAACACCGTTTGCTGTCAGTACGCTTTCGATCCTAAATCATGCAAGTTATAAAATACATTGTATAACATAATACAGTCAGTTTCCATCATCTGTTCAGAATATTTTACTTTTTTTCAATTGAAAGCTGACTTTGATCAGTTTTCTCTAACGGCTTTAGACAAAAGCAGCTGTTAAATGTAATTAAGTAAAATTTTCACTAGAAGGAGTACAACTCCTGACTTGTTAAATTCCTTTATAACGGGACCATTTTTTTCTATCAATGAAGATCTCAAAAAGTATCTTGTCGTTATTTGGGGCTAAATGAAAAACTGAAAAACGACATTCGTAAAAAAGTTGTAGTGTCAAAGGGAGCCGTTTTCTTCTCTTGGCCAATTTCTGGGGAAATTTCCGCAAATAGACTTCTAACTGAAAAACCAAGCCAGGAGCTGAATCAAAAGAAATCTTTCCACAATCTTAACAGTGCAGAGATGTTAGAAGGTCACACCAAACTGACTAAATAGAATGCCGCTTTTGCGTTTTCAATTCAGACAAAATTGTAGTTTATTCAAATTTTGTAACAATTAGCGGTTCAGTCTGATTTCAGCGTTCCTCCCATGAATGGCATTGACAGAAAAAAAAAGGCAGAAAAAAAAAAGGCACAGAAAAAAAAAAAGGTAACATTCTTTATTTCCAATGAGAACTATTCTAAAATGTCGCTGCTATTGATTTTCTTAGACTTCAAAATGTAACTATCTCCAAGGGTATACTTAAACCCAAATCCATTTAACAATGAATTAGTCAACAGACGACAACGGTTTCCGGATTGTGTTATGTCAGGATGGACATTCCTCCGAGAATCTTGGAAATGTAATGAGAATCATAAATCTTCCGGATTAAAATTATTGGCTAGGAATTAGTAATACTAACCTCAGTAAAGACTGCTTTTGACTCTAAAACAGACATCCAAATCCTTAACCTTCGGTGCAAATGTCATAAATGTGATCTTTTCAGTCCTCCTGGGTCTAGTTAAATTTTAAGTTGTTGTTGTTTTTTCTTAAAGCCAAGGGAAGCATTTTCAATGAAACTTTTCCATTATGACAAACCCTGTTTCAGTTTCAGTAACGAAAACTCATATTCACGTAAAAGATGTTTCAGAAAAGCTTATTTTTACCAACCTTTTCCACTGCTTGCCAAGCCTGGCTGAATAAGTAAAGTGTAACCTTTTGCCTGATTTAATAACTAAAAAAACGGTGCAAGAGCTCTATTCCTTTTAATCTTTTTTTAGTTGATTAGAAACAAAAGCTCAAATGAACAGTTCGTAAGTCGATGAGATTTGGAAACACAAAGAAAACGTCGCTAATTTGATTATTCACAGCGAGAGATAAGATGTACATTTGAAAAGAAACCAGCCCAGGAATAAAACACACCTTGAGAATTCCCATCATAAATCTAAGAACATAATACGCACAACTGAAACGTTTTGAGTTATATATGAATGTTTTGGGATATTTTTCACCATCAGGTGTTCCCTCCATGTGAGCATAACGTGCTGGCATTGATTCTTATAAATATGATAGGCCTTTCGTAGAGTCTAATACTTTGGTCTCTGTCCACAACTCAAAAAACTTTTTGGCCGGCATAGAAAGTTTGGAAAAAGAGTTTGCGATCTCAAATGAAGGCATTTGACCAGTGCGAATAAGAGCCGAATGTGTTTGTTTCACCTGAAGAACACTTTTGGTTGAGAACTCAGGTATGCATTTCATTTATATTACATATATTATTGGGTGTTCTTGGGTAACCATTCAGGCATGCTCGGGTAGAATAAAAATCAATCGTATATTGAAAAACGAACGATGATTCTAGTTCAAAAAACTAAAAAAGAAAATTACGTTGAAATATTCGATTGAGTTTTATAGTAACAGATCTGAAAAGCACCCGCCAAGCTCAACAGTTCGGTGTAAGACTGTATCAAGGATCTCAATTAAGTTAACCTTTAGCCGTAAAATGGCCAAAATTTTGACTTTTAGCCGTAAAAGCCATCACCTATTGAGACCCTCTATGTCCTGTATCGCTTTGAATTGGTGACGTATAATTTGCGACTTATTGATAAGAATTTACTTGGACAGTGTAATTTCATTTCGGGCTGTTTATGCGGCAGATATATTCTCTGCTTCCCACAAACCTTCCACTTCGCTATCAGAAGAAAAAATAATCATAAAAACTTCCAGTGAGAATGTAGAAATATAGAAGAAAAGGGGATAGAACAGAGGTTTCATATTGCTTTGGGAAATTCAATGGACATTTAAGATTCGCGAGACTCGCTTTAAGAATTTTAGAAGTCACTCGATATCACCAACTAGTGGCAACCCCTCGGTCAGCTTTCACCCTTTAAGATATGAGATTGGTTCCACGTTGGTGGGAAATTAAACATAAAAATTAAAACAGCAATTGAGAAAGGGCCATGATTTCCTCGGAAGACACAGTGATCTCGGCTAGAAATTCAAACACCTCGTGCAGGTCATTTTATTAGGCCGTTAAGGAAAAAGTAAATATTATCATTTGGATTTTCCAAGATGCTTTGTAACATTTCAAATTTTTCAGGATCAAAATAAAACGAAATAGAAATGAGTTTATGAATCATAAGCCGAGAAACTATTCAATGTACAGAAAAGAAAACTTTCTGTTATATGATTTTTGTTTAAGGAAGTTTTTCTTTTCAGGCATTAAACTTTCGTGAGCTATTGCTCTATTTTTTTTTTTTTTTACACTACAAAAACTGATATGTAGCACAGATCGACTTTCCTGTTCTTTACGAGCAATGTTAGTAAATACATCGTCGACAGCTAGTTATTATAAGCTTTTAGTTTAGATTTGAACTGTGTCGACAACATTATCAGTAAAAACGATCCCTGAAAATCCCTGAAATGAGAAATCAACTTAAACGGTGGCATTACATTTAACATTCTTGCTCCTCGAACTGAGGAAAAACCAAGAAAGGTAGAAATTGGAGGTACATTCTGTAAACCTTGCTATTTTACAAGGAAAGCGATCATTTAATGAAAACTCTGTTGACTTATCTCTGGCCGGCACGAAACTGTGCAGAACGAAGTCGGTTTTACTGTAGCCCAACGTTAATTAAAATACACATTTCCGTCTTGCAGGAGTTCTTTAGCCGCTATTTGTAGTGAGTGCACGAGTTTCTTTGGAGAATAGCGAATATAACTTGAATACACCGGTCCGAGGGAGCCTTGAGACAGTAATCTTTTTTAGTTACTTAGAACGCGTTTGAAATCTTTATTTACTATTTCTATGCAAAGCAGTTTTAAGCGACTACTGAACGAGAAAAAATTAAGAGAAAGAACTGGCCTATTCTTACTGAGAAGGAAAAGATGTAGCGAAATTAAATCTCTTACCATTCATTGCTCACATACCTAGACCCACCATTTTGTTTCTCTTTGGCTTCAAAATAGATTTTAACCCAAAGAAATGCGCGAGGTGAATTATGTTTGAGTTACCACAAACGATTTAGTCTCGATAACAGAGTTTCTGAAAACAAAATTTTTCCTCTCTGTAATATAAACTCTGCTGCAAGCATTGTTCGTCATTCAGATTACCCAGTTAAGTTTCGTGTAATGAATCAAAACCCGCAGTGTCACTGTTAGGAAAAATAGCGGCTCGTTGCACCATACAATAGGTGGAATCCAAGATTCAGAAAACCAACACAACTAATGAATGCTGGAGCTAGACTGTAATTTCATCGCGAGCAAGGCAACTGAACACAAAAATGGTGAAAACATATTTATTCAGTGAATTTAGATACGAGAAATGTCGCCTTTTGTTTGTTTAACTTCATAACAGTGTTTCGAAAATGTCTTTTAGTGTGCGTGAAAACTGACGCTTTATATCACCGCCTCAAATGTTTTGCGAATGTTGTTCAACAATGTTCGTGTAGTCTTCTTGTCAGACGACGAGTTTCGATGGCACCGCCAAGCAACTGAACTGATATCACATCTGAAAATTTATATTAACAAATGCAATTTAAAGTTGCCTGCAAATTCATTCTTTTTAAATTGTCTTGTGGTTAAGTAAAGCTTTTAATGTACCGTAAATTCAAACATGAGGATCGCATGAGCTTAATTAATTCAATAGAAAACTTATTCACTGTATACCCGCGTAATTCGATTAGCTATATAGCGGCGTTTATGTAGAAAAACAACCGCAGTTGAATAGAAGAACTGTGTGAATAGACTCAGTTTTCATCAGATAACGTGTAAAATGACAGTCATAAAAAAACCTATAGTTACTTCTTCTTTGAAGCCAAGCGTGGCTCGTTCGGCTGAGAACAAAAAGGTCTCCGGAGTGCTTTTGTTTGTTTTTTTGTCATAGCGGGTAGCCCATTGCTTTTTCTTTCTCAAAGTATAAAACTCGGAGCTTTATAATTTCGTCGACTCGATCAATCAGTTCGGAAAAATACTTAATCCCTCCAGCATTCCGAATTTGAATTAAAAGATACCAAATTTTACACCTTCAGAGCGTTTAAATCCTCTATGGATACACTTCTACCGCTGGGAAGCACACTGAGACAAAAAACGGCTTTCAATTAAATGTTTATGTTTATTGTGGCCTTCGAACGTCTTTTTTTTTTTGGGCAGGTTTTGAATTATTTTAGATTTATCTTTATTTTCTGTTGAACGCAAAGGACACCTGAAGTTTGGTGGTTTTCTGTACGGCAGACTTTCTATGGTTGAGTGATCGGTATATCCACACCCCTTCAATTCTATTCCTCTACCAATCCAGATGTTCGTTTTCCCAGGGAAGAGAGCACGGCGCGGTTTGCTGTGGAAAGTATTGTTTGATAGCTAAATGAAATTTTACGTCAGTTTTCCGTTCTGCCGAACCTTTTGAAATTGTGCTCACTATAAGTGCGAAGATTGACAAGATTTGGTAAACAGATTGCTTAAGAACACTACTCAAAGCAAAACTGAACTTGCCTTGGATATCACGCGCGCGAAGTTTATCGGCAAGATTGGAATATGGCGGCTTTAATCAGCCTACGCTAGCTAAATTTTCCGGCAGTGAGGAAACCTCCCTAGCTTATTAGTGATATGAATTACCCAAATGTTTATGGCTCTGTTCACTGAAAGATGTGACTACCGTCAAAGTATGCGTGGCATACAATGTTCGTGCAATCCATCCATGGAAAACTACATATGGTGAAAAAATAAAGAGACTCATTTTGCCTGATTGTATCTGCAAAGCTATGACAACATTACCAGGCAATTCTTACTGAGTTAAGAATCTTGTGCGGTTCTGAAATTTCACGATGTGTTACCATATGATTGGGGCAGGGAAGATCCTTATGTCGCCTACAGAAAGGGGTTTATTTAAAATCAATTCAACCGACTATTTTCCTAATTTTTTTTTAACACACAGAAGGATTATAATGCGCTTAGAGAAAAAGCGAGAATCAACTTGAATTGCGAAAGCAGATTCGACGATCAAAAAGCGCAATGGTATAAATTTTGATCCAGCATACTGTCCTATTTACACAAAAACAGCTTGATCACATTTTTGTTCTGTTTATAATGATAATATAATAAGGTTAAACTCTTTATTCAGCAGAAAGAAAACAACCACAGAATGAGCACACAGCTTCTTTAACATAAATTGTTAATTATGTCTTCCTGTTGTCAAACCTAATATTACAGAAGTCGTTTGAACATTACCCCCGGATGTCTAAGCCGTCAATTGTGACCTAAAGCGTGTTTCTCTGTTTGACATTGCGCATCCATATAACAGGAAAAAAAGTGAAAGCTGTGTTAAGAGACCACTAGAAGCCGTCTATTAAATGTTTAATACAAACAGGGTAATATTACAAAATGGCACTAGACTGTGTACAGAAAGCAAGCCGTTAAAAAAATGCGCTAATGTGCGCGTTCTTCTAAAACTTCTTTAAGGATCACTTAGTGAGTTTATTAATATGCAATTTGTTTCTTCAAAGATGTTGAAGGGGCAGAGATAGCGCTAACTTAACCACCTTGTATTATTTACACCTAGAGATTAAAAACAGAGAGAATGTTTACGCCCGTTGATTTAATCGGTGTGACAGGTGCTGACGAACCACACTGAGTCGGAGTTTTTGAATCGTCCTTTGCTAAAATGCGTTCTTAACAAATCACATGAATATAGCAGGCCTCAGCTGGAAGAGGTACGCATTTTGTCCCATTGGAGATCACAAATTTATACGCATTTTATCCTTGACATACTAACTAGTTGGCAATGATCCGGCGCACTGTGATCTTCTCGTTGAATTTGTAAAAGTTTACATGTGTGGCGACGAATTTATGGTCACGGAATGAATAAAATGCAGTGAAATTCTGTTCTTACATAGTAATTGGCCTTTGCTTAATGCAGCAATAGCAGGTTTTTAATCAATGTCCCAAGTAAAACATCATGTATGGACTAATTTAACAACGTTCGCGTACATTTGGCGCTGAAATATGTTTCTTTTTTATCCAAAACACCAAGAAAATCTGAGAACATCACAAAGATCGAAAACACACTAGCTAATCTGAGGTAACCTTCTAATCAACAGAGTCAAAAAAGGATTAATTGGGACATTTCACGAGCAAATTTTCTACTCCCTTTCATTCATTTTCAGTGAGTTGGTTGTTTATGTCCCTAATCGATAAAAATAAACGTTTGATTTACTGCGCTGCGGAAGGTCTTAAATAAATATTTTATAATATCTTGGTTTACTGCAAGGTCACGACATATTTCTTTTCTTTGAACAAGCGTTAAAGAGAAAATGAATTCTAACAGATCAAATCAGGGCGATTGTCCGACATTGAAAATTGACCAACAAACCCTTGCGTTTCTTCTGTGTGTTTAAATGCTAATTTTCCACTGTGAAAAAAAACTGTTTGCAAAATGACTTCCGGGCACTTTTCGTACGCTGCCCCATTAAAAAATTGGCAAATAAACGTTATTATGGCTTTGTTTATCCTAAAAATCCGAGACGATTGCTCGCAGAAAGAAAAGCCATAGAAATCTAATATTGGTAAAACCCCATTTCCTTCCTCAGGGGTTGTTCACAGGGCTAATTAATTATTTTAATCCGGCCATTGATAATGTTCATCAAAGCAATTTAAGGTAAAATTCACGTGATCATATGTGAACTTCTCTTAAAGACAGAACCGCTCTCTCATTTCGACTCATTTCACGCAAGACTGGTGCCGGTGGACAACATGCAAGGGGGAAAGACGTCCGCTTTCTCAGTAGAATCACTCATTTCCAAGGAAAGTTTTGCTGAAACAAGAAGTGATGACACTCATGGATGTATGAAACTGCCGCGGTGTTCCTCAGGAGACGAGATCACTCGAAGTTCGCCTAGTTTTAGCAGCGCCATAAACATACCTCGTCCATTGACCCTGGAAGGTGTTGGTACAGGTCACGCGAGCGCTTTTTCGCAAACTTCTCAGCTCTCTCTATCGACTGGAAGATCCTTTAACATTCAACGCAACACGGAACATCACCCAGGTAAAGTAACTGAACCTAAAACTTATTATAAGTTAGGAAGTGTAAATTGCATCTGGTTCAATTTTCCTTTGAGGAGCCGCTATTTTCTAGCGTTTAAGTGTACCAGCCCACACTCTGATTTGATCGTCCATGAGTGAAATAGCAAATACAAATTTAGCCAACGCGCAGATAACTAAAACGTGTTGTAAAATCTTGTTTGTTACACATCAAGTAAATTAAATTTTTTATCAAAAATTTATCGGCGGTTGATCTAGTATCGTGAAACTGATTTCTTCTTTCCTGTCTCGTTTTCTTTTAGCCAGCAAATTGGTTTTGGATTGCAAGATAATTTTCTTGAATATAGTTGCGCAATATTCTAAGTAGCGTGCGTTTAGCTCTTGTGAATTTGCAAAGCATGTTATTATGTGTGGTTCATCTGATGATGGCTCAACAGCAGCGAAAGGTTGACCGTAGAAGTTTTCGCGAGGAGTGAGGAATTGACAGGAATTTGTTTGCTTTGTCTTCCGGACTTTTAACAAAACTGAAACACAAAGACGAATCGCAAATGGAATGTGAAAAACAGAAAACAAGCGAGTGGTGACATGCCGAGAAAAACTGCTCACTTCAAGCAGAAATGTGATTTCAGTAACGATTATTTTCATCAGCCTTTATGATGAAAAGGTTTTCGTCGACTTTTGCTATCTGCCCTCTATTTTCTAGTTGACAATTTTTCCAATCTTTGATTCAACTGATGCTGTCTATTTTGGGGTAGAAAACTTGCGAAAAAGAGATCGATTTTAGCCCAGATTTGTTTACCTTGCACTTTGGTTCTTGTTTTATTCACCGCTGTGTTAAATACTTCAGGTGTGGTTGTGAAAGAAGTTCCATTTTTTAGCCACATTTTTGTTAAATTATTGTTTCAAAACAACAAAGGATTCCACATTGAGCAATAGGTTAATAATAATCAAGTCGCTTCCATAGAAATCATCGCTCATAACTTCTTTCGAAGCTGCCATCTAGTACAAAGAAGGTCTGAGGAAGTTCCTTATATTAATACAATAGTTTTAAATTTCAAGACAGTTTGTTCTATATGCACGTTCTCAATTTTGTTTTCATCTTTTCCAAAACAAAATGAATTGGAGGGTTGAAAATTGGCCCTAAAATTCTCCCATAATTTCCAGATTCTACCGCTGTGAATATGGCCGGCCCAGCTCTAACATATTCAGTGGTTTTTCTGTTTTCATAGATGCACAACGCCATGATGACGCCACCAGAACTCGTCGCTACAGGACGGCTTTCACTCGCGAGCAGCTCAGCAGACTTGAAAAGGAATTCCTCCGAGAAAACTATGTGTCTCGCACCAGGAGGAGTGAGCTTGCGTCTTCACTCAACTTATCAGAAACAACCATCAAAATATGGTTTCAGAATCGGCGAATGAAATCAAAAAGGCGTCGCATGGCATTGGGGCTGAAACCTGTTCAAGCTTTTTGTCCCACAAGACACTTACCTTCTGATGGACACCTCAGTTCGGGTCATCTGTATAATGGTCTTCATTATGTACCTTGGTCGCCATATTCACCCGTCAGTAGCCCCCTGTGGCCCCACGGAGTCCACTTCTTGCACTGTGACCCACATTATCACCCGTTTTCAGTACCCTCTCCAAGCACTAGCACCGGATCAAGCTACAGACCACCAACAACCCAGGCTAACTGTTCATATGTCTGGAAAACTAACGAATAGACGACTAAAAAGAACCTATGCTGTAAATATCATGATCAATATAGGCGAATGCAGTGAGGTGATGAAATGGGTGAGATGTTTTATAGAATGAAAGGAACCCTTCTTACTGAGTCATACAAAATCCAGTATTATTGTGGTTATGGTGGAGGGGTAAAATAGCTCTACATTATATATTTTATTTAATTTGAAAATCAGCAGAGTATCGTGTAAAAACAAATAATTTCCTTAGATCACTTCCTCTCATAGAATACAACTGAGTAGACAATATGAATTAATGTTCATCATCTTTTGGAATTACTTTAAAGGGCTCCCCGGCTATTCTTTCTATTACATTTACTTCCTGGTCGATTTTAGGCCTTCATTTGTCCTAAAATAAATTTGTGCAAACAGAGCCTCAGAAGAATACTTGGAATATACCCCCTATATGAAAATTGGTGACATAACTTGCAAATCTATTTCGTCTCAAGCGTTGGAGGTTTTACTTTTTAAGACATGTGTTAGCAGGCCAGAAATATAAACGTTTTGATTTTTTACCTTGATATCTCAGTTAGCAGAAAGTTTGTAGCTCTATGGATAAAATCAAGTTCTTAAATCCTATTTACATGTAACACGGCCTTGTTTTATTGAAGGATAAAATTGATTGTTCCCAGCGGGTAAAACAATCATGGAAACTCATTTTTCCAGTCACAGAGCTCAAATGATATGTTGATTGAAATTCTGTGCCTCAGAAATCGCTAAAATCTCTGCTGGGTCAAACCTTACTTTCCGTTGCTGTTCGGATCAGTTTGACATGCGTTCGATCGAGAAGATCCCTGAGCTGAATTACAAATAAAATTGAATTGTATTAAACGTTAAGACTGACCCTCCTTTAACTGCCTAAAATCTGTGCAAAATGTTCCTAGAAATAGTTTAAACTTGCTCTTTGTACTCTATTTTCATGTAAACTGGCTCTAAAAATCTGTTGCATTGGGTTTCTGTGAAAGTTAACACGTTTCTACGCTGTTGATGCAAGTGTGAGTTTTTACGTGCCCACTGCATCTATTTTCAGCGTTACATATCTTTCACAGTTAATCGGAGTCTAGCGTTCATATTGATGGGTTCCCGAATCCTGTACTGGCTGAATGTTTTTTCCGTCAAATCCTGCACAAATGTCATGAAATCATTGTATTTTTTTTTTAAGATAAACCCTAAGTTACTTTAAAGTCTCACAGAACTTTACTGGGGTTTATCAGAACGAAGAAAATAAAATTTCAATATTCATGTTGAAACAAAAGAATGGAAAACAGAAACCTTAGAGTAGGTTTATATATATTTAGTTTTACATCAGATATTTTCATGAGGCTATTTCGGCAAACGCAACATAATTTGACTCTCTGTTGTAACATGTACGTCGCCATGCACGATTCCCTTAAATTTTTTTTTAATCTGACGTAAAGACGAAAGGCAAACATAGAGAACCCACGGTTAGTCATAAAATCTCATTGTATATGAAAAGATTCAACAACGCACGCAAATATTTGAGCCTTCGTTAATCATGATTAACGGAGATTAATTTAAGTTCCCCTGTACAAGTTTGATTTGAGTTCAACATGTATGTAGCCAAAGGGTGAGCGACATTTTTTTTCTTTATTAATTTTAATGAAATAAGGAATCGAATACGAACTCAAAACTTTTATCTGGACATCTTCTAATGAATTATTACAGGTCTTAAATGAAATCTATTAATAAATAATTCATCTGTTAGTGTGCAATAAAAATTGTTATGAATGCTAGGATGTCCGGAAATGTATTCGATGGTCCATCAGGAGTTGAAATCTACTTTTGTGCTTCATGAAGAAGTACTTTGATTTATTTCTCACTAAGTTGCTTTCCACCATACCGCAAAGTAGGTAGTAATTGAAAAGAAAACTAATCGGATCTCAGTTATTCTCGGATAATTCGGAAAATACCGCGTCACGATAACAAACTGATCTTCAAAAACCGGTTAATAACCAGTGATATAACCTTGACCGATATTAAAAGAAAAATTTTATGGCGCTGTGAGAATAAAACATGGAAGGCTGACGGATGATAAAATATATTCTTCTGTTTTAACGGCGGAACACTGGCTTCTTTGCCAGCGGGGAGAAATTAAATAAATTCTCCAAGGAAAAGGAAATCGCGCATAACGACAAACCAACCTTCCGTAAAATTGTCGTGTTGCGCTGGATTTTGACGGGCAATTAGGACGAACAAATTTGCGTAATTTTTAATAAACCACCACTGTCGAAAGCGGCACTGTTGTTTAGAGCTATTACGCATGCGTTGTTTGGGTTCCAATAGGTAATGATCCCTTATTAGCGTCCTCGAGTCCACCTCATAAGACGAACTCCTGTTTGCTCACGCTCCGATTACCGGTTGAAAATAGCTATATCTGGTCGTTAAATATCATTAAAAACGGTCATAATTCGCCCATACGTGTAGGCAGAACTAAGCTTGAATGCTTTTTGATTTATAGTTTTGCGCACTCGGATGATTTGGAGATGATTTTTTTTTTCTTTCGTTAACGCTTCTGTTTTAAGTTATTTTCAACAAAATATTTCCCCGGTTATTTTATTCCAGCTGAGCTCTTTTGCAATCAAGTATAAAATAGGGTCAGAGGATGGCTAAATATGGCTCTTTCTTATAAGCGACACTCAAAAAAAAATTTGGCTTTGAAGACGGACAGGTGATTATTGTTGGGAAAAACCCTGACGAGCGAATAATCCTTAATTTTGTATAATAAATGAAACTGTTGCGTGGGCAGCGTTTCTATTTTTCCTGTTTGAATTTTCTCGATAAAAGGTTGATTAAAATCCAAACATTAATCCTGGCGTTTAAATTTGAAAATTATAATTTTCTTTCTGAGACATCTTTTTTTATTAATATCTTCTATTCATTTATCTATTTCCTTTCCCAAAAATGACCGTAAACAGTGTTTGATATTGTTGTTAGGTCAATAAAGGTAGTAAATGAAAACCTTCTCTTATATAGGTTTTCATTGACCCGAAATCTAAATATTTTTCATTATAACATAACCAAAGCAAAGCGCGCGCTCTGATTGATCAATTTAGCGTCCCCCATTTCCCATGAGTGTACGCTGCTGACGTGAGCAAATGCAAAGACTATTTTTCCGCGCTCGCTTGTTTTTTCTGGTCACGTAAGATTTGTTAATTAAAAGAGAACTTTTTAGCTACAATGTATCAATGTTATGTTATAAAACAAATGGTAAACACCACAGCGTACACTACTGAGTTATGGATGCACTTGGGGGGTTTGCTAAGCACTCAAGACGCTAGAGTCGCTCTCGGCTATCGCCTCGAGCGACTCTTACGCTTCTTTCGTGCTTAGCAACCTCCCGCGTGCATCCATAACTCAATAGTGTACGCTGTGGTGTTTACCATTTGTTTTAA